TGTCCAAGAAGACGCCCACAGACGTTCTCTCATAATTGTATTCCGTCGATAATAGGTGCAGCACTCTGGTCAGCTGTGTAGCTGTAGAGTGTCCGCTCCGAAATCCGTGTTGTTCCGCCCGCAGTTGTATGCACGGGCGGACTCTTCTTAATACAATGCGCTCGAACAGTTTGGCTATGTGCGGTAGCAGCGTAATCGGCCTGTAGCTAGCTGCTCTACGCCTGTCCTTCCCGGGTTTTGGCAAGACGATGATTTTGCCGATTTTCCAGCTCTCCGGGAAGTGGGAAGTCCGCAGAATGCCATTGTAGAGTTTTCCTAACTCTGGTTCTGTTTGGCAGCTGTCTGAGTGCTGCGTTCGTGATCCGGTCGTGCCCCGGCGCCTTCCTCACTTGCAGGCGGTTAATCGTCCTCCGCAATTCTGTGGGAGAAATAAACCATTCTCCTGCAAGCGTTGGCGAGGGCGACGACAGGAACTCCTGTACGCGGCTCTCCTTTTGGGTATGAAGCTCCATGAACTCCGCACTTGCTGGATTCGGCATAAACTGCTCCTCGAAGTGCTCAGCTAGGATATCCGCTCTTTCCTTGGCCTCATAGCATCTCTCTCCAGTACTACTTAATAGTGCGCATACAGGTGATCTTGTTCTTGTCAGCTGCCGGTTCAATTTGTAGAGCGACGCATCTTCCTCCTCTGCTTTCCATATGCGCCGCTCCCAGGCCTCTCCTCTGTGGGCCTGGATTGCAACCGACAGCTCTTCTGATAAGGTGTTGAGTTGCGACTTGATTCTTGGACAGCGCGTACGCGCCCAAAGCCTCCTTAATGCTCTCTTTTTCCTCAGCTGAATTTGTACTTTTTGTGGCAGCTCTTCTTTCTTTTTGGTAAGTGGGACGATCGTAGAGGCTGCGTTGAGAGCTTCTGTGATCGTCTTAGTAATTCTGGTTGCAGCGGCCTCTACGTCGTCCGCTGTGTTGATCGGTGTTGTTACTGGAGGTCTCTCCAGTAGATGTTGTTGGTAGAGCCTCCAGTTGATCTTAGTCTTGAAGGCTCTGGGAGGCGACGTCACTGCCCTGAGGCCTAAGGTGATTAATAGCGGGAGGTGCTGTGTGTCCGCGTCGTACAGCACCTCTACCACTATCGGGCAGTTGATGTTCCTAGTGAGCACGATGTCCAGCACATCCGGACTCTTCCGGTGATCGGCTGGAATATGCGTCGGCTCTTCGGGGCCTAATACGTCGTAGTTGTTTAATTCCGCATCATCGTAAAGAGCACGACCCGGCGGGGTGATCATTCTTGATCCCCATGCCGGGTGTTTCGCGTTTAGGTCCCCTGCTATAATGGTTGGTGTTTCACCTTCCATTATTGTCCGGATGTCTGAGGAGCAAAATGGAGTCCCTGGCGGGCGGTATGCTGCGTAGATCCTTAGTTCCTCGCCCGCCGCCTCCACTTTTAATGCCGATTGAGCGCATAGTTTGGTACTGAGGTGGTTCCAGCTCTAGGTGGACGATGTCTCTTCTTACTAGAGCCGCCGTACCTCTGTAGGCGACTCCTTGAGCGTTGACCTCGTCCCTCCTGTATATAAAGTAGTTCGGCAGCTTTATGCGCGTCGCAGGTCTCAGCTTCGTTTCGCCCAACAGTATTACGTGTATGTCCTGCTGTTGGGCGATAGTGCGGAGTTCATGTATCTTCTGCTGGATTCCGTCCGGGTTCCAGTATAGGAGGCGCAGGTTATCCGGGTTACACGACACCACTGTAGTGCCGAGCCAGTAGCTGCGCCAAAGCCTTCATAATAGCTGTAATCGGATCCGTCCCGGCTCTTATGTCTGCCAGGACTTGGCTGCCCACTTCTATAGCGATGCCAACCAGCCTCTGGATGGCATCTGTCATGTCTGGGGCAGCTGTTGGTGTTCTTCTTGCGCTTGTCATTGCTGGTACTGTCCTCGGGTGTGGTGTCGGTAATTCTGCTCTACCTTCTCTACCTTGGGTAGAGCGTGCTCTTTGTGTAGAGCGGGCTCTATTTTCTGATAGAGCCCTTCCTGGGGCTCTACTCTTGGTGGTTATCCTTTCTGTAACCTGCGCCTGGGCCATCGTTACCGCTGGGGTGGGGGTAGAGGTGGCTGCCGCTACCTGAGGAGGTTGTTCTTTCTTTTTCTTACTGCGCACCCGCTTCTTCTTCTTTGGCTGTTGCCTCTCTGTGGCATCGTTAGCGGGTGGCTGTAGAGTCGTCCCGGTGGTTGCTTTTGGAGCCTCGTACGTCTCTACTTGTGGTTGCTGTGCGGGGGGTGGGGGGGGTGGTTGCCTTCCCCTCCCTCTAACTGTTGCCCACCCGTCTTCTTGAATTTCCACTGTTCGGGGGCGACTCTGCGGGACCCCCCTAGGGGCTTCCGGTTGTAGCCCCGGTAGGGTGATCCCTTGCTTCCTTGCGATCCTCCTCAGGACCGGGCAGCGGCGATCATTCGCTGTGTGGTTATTTCCACAGTTGGCACATCTTGGCTCTACCTCTCTACCCCTTGGGCATTCGCTTGCAATGTGGTTATCTCCACAGCGGACACACTTCACTGGTGGCGACACTATCGCACACCTTACCCCCCCAACCAAAGCTTAACCGTAAGGAGAACCGCGGTGCTGCGAGACGTTTTCTCGTACGAACACTTCTAACTTTTCACTAGAACGTCTCGAATAAAATTTAATTTTTACCGTGATATATAAATATTATCGTATTCAGAAAGTTAATACGGTATATATTTGAGATTGTGCACGTAACAGACAAACCCGTTACGTATATAAGCGATCGAGAAACGAGCAATGGATGTTTATTTTGTTCACTATATTCTGAGCGTACTGTTACGGACAGCGAGAGACCCGCCGCCCCGTCGCCCCTTCGTTCCCCGTTACGTCCCGCGCACCCCGCACGCCGGCGCTGATCACGCGATATCGGGCAACCAATCAGCGCGCGTGCGGGGAATATTGCCATCGGGCGGCCAACCCGACGAAATGAAGCGCTCTTCTCGGAAATATAAGAAGGGCGCCTCGGACGGTCGTTGTTCATTCGGGTTCATTCGGGTTCCTTCGGATCATTCAGAAGCATTCACTCGGAAGCGGCAAGGAAGAATCAAGACAGAAGACTCCATACTGAAGACCTCCCTTTTGTATAGTGATTAGTTAATGTACCGAACCCATTGTAAATAGTGAATATAGTATAATTAAAAGTACCATCTTTTCTTCGAGCAGTCCCCTAGTATAGCTAACCTCACACCGCCAGTTAAAATAACAAATACAGTCCACTACTCTCCATCCACTTTATCTTGGTCCTTCGAGCCGGATAGCAGCCAGAAGAAGGAAGAAAGAAGAAAGAAGTAAGAAGAAACAAGAAAGAAGGCAGTTATACAAGAAAGAAGGTAATTATAGAAGAAGGAACATAATTACAGAAGAGAGAAGATTATTATAGAAGATCTTCAAGGAAGAAAGAAGTTCGTCGACGAAGAGAGAAGATCGTCGGTACTAATTTCTTCCCTGTTTCTTGTTACGCCTACGTCATACGCGCCTATTGTCTGTTTCCAGACAATTTCTTGTTTCTTAACCGCGTTTACGCGGCCAGTGGTCACTCCCTAACGGTGCCAAACTGTGACCATCTGGTAACGCCCTTGTGGCGGGAACGACATCCATACGTGTGTCTTTTTAAAGACTGTACGTACGTCTTTTTGAAGACGACCGGAGGTCGCAACGTGGGACCATGAGGAAGACACGAAGCCAGAAGACACGGAACGATGATGACACGCCGGTAGGAATGCGCATATTCGAAGAAGCACCCGCGTCCCCGTCCGATTATCTCGCGATGGCACAAGCGCCCTCCGCCGCGCCCGCGCTCCAGGCCCCGCCCGCGCCCGCATCGACGCCCGCGCCCTCGCCCCCGCCGCCGCGCCCCGCTATGTCCGTGTCCACGACCGATCGTTTGGGAGAGGTTAGCATTTCCGCGCCGCGTACAGAGACACTCGCCGCGATTATAGAAGATCTTCCGTCTACAGAGATTAGTTCGATAGTACGTACCGTCGCGCCTGTAACAGACGTACATAGGCCCGCGCCCCGCGCCCCGTCGGTTCGCTCCGTTCGTTCAGCCCGGTCGACGGCTAGTGCGATAGCTAAATTAAAGCAAATTGAATATAACGCCGCGGAGGAACTAGCTGCAATTAGGAGGAAGCAATTGCAGTTGGAAGAAGATCTTATTAAGAAGAAGTACGCTAGGGACGTCGCGCAACTGCAAGAAGAAACAGATAGGGAAAGTGTCAACGAAGACGAGTTAGTTGAAAATAGGGTACGCGTTGATAGGTGGTTAGAGAACGTAGAGACTGTGCGGGGGGAGTCGCCTTCCCGCCCCTCTCAGCCCGCGCCCCGCATCGAGTTAGAGCAGACCCTACCAAACAGGGTAACCGGTTACGACCACAGTGAAGATGCCCAGGGGAGGACGGAAGCGAATAACGTTCAACCGCGCCGCATAGATTCGGTACAAAGGGAAGATGGAGTCGCCGCAGGAATGAACCAGGTGGATCGTCGTGTACGGGTTACGTCGCCGTCGCGCGTCCAACGCCGCACTCTATCGCCTACACATAGATCGCCACATCGCCACGCGGATCGTAGATCACCGTCGCCGCATAGGGATGTAGGTGCGCATAGGACGCCAGCGCCACAGCGCAGGCTAGAGAGAGATAGGGATAGAGATAGGTCGCTTACTCCGCGAGGAAAGGATAGGGGTATAGAGCGACTAGCGGAAGCTCTGGAGAATATGGTCAGAGTTAGGCCCGCTGCCGCGAAGCAGACGCAGGACTTGCCTATTTTTAACGGTTCGGCCGCGGAATGGCTAGCGTTCAAAGCCGCGATGAAAGAATCCACGCGTCTATATGGATTCACAGATACGGAAAATATGGCAAGGTTAAGAAATTGCTTACGCGGTGAAGCTAGGGAAGTAGTATCGGCACTGCTGTTTACCGCAAAGGATCCAGCAGATATTATGCGAACATTAGAGCAGTGTTTCGGCCGCCCGGAAGTAATTATCGATCGCGCGTTAGAAGAATTGAAACGCCTTCCGCGCCCGGGTCAAACTGCACAGGAGCTAAATGCGTTCGCAATAAAGTTGCAAAATATCGTGTGCATTTTGCAAAACGTAGACGGCAAGGGATATCTGCAAAATCCAATGCTTACTAGGGAGGTAACGAGTAAGTTAAGCCCTCACTTACGGTCGCGTTGGTGTGATTATGCGGAGCACTACGGGAGTGCAGACGAGCCGGACATCGTTACACTGTCCAGGTTCATGATGAGAGAGGCTGATCGTGCGGTGAGTCATGCCTATACTTCCGTAGAGCCGACTAAGGAATCGCCCGTAAGACGAGAGGCGCCGCCGTCGAAGAGGATAGTGACACGCCGCGTAGAGAATAGGGCTCGCGACGTAAAAACGTTCACCGCACAGGAGGACACCGGTAGTGCCTCTTGTATGTGCTGCGGAGGTGAACACGCGATAGCAAAGTGTAAAAAGTTAGCGCAAATGGGTGTGGACGACCGGTGGAATTGGGTAAAAGAAGACGGGGTATGTTTTCTATGTTTAAACAGTAAACACCGACGGTTTAAATGTAAAGCAAAGAAATGCGGCATCGACGGCTGCAACGCCCCCCACCACGCCCTCCTTCACACCCGCAAGACCCGTGCACCTGAGACATCGGCCAAACCAGATGAGACCGTACTCGTCGCGTCTAACGTCGGTAGGAATGCAGCCGTATTGTTGAAAGTGTGTCCCATTACGTTACGTGGACCACACGGTAAGGAAATAGACACGTACGCGTTGCTCGACGAAGGTTCGACTATTTCGTTGATCGATGACGACTTAGCGCGTGAGTTAGGAGCGGAAGGACCGGTAAAGCCGCTGAATATTAGGGGAATAAGCAATAGTCAGCGCGAGGCCGATAGCAGGCTAGTCAACATAGGCATACGTGGAAAATCGCGCAGCGAGATGTATAGAATAAATGCGCGTACGGTAACGAATTTACAGATAGGTTCGCAGTCGGTGAATAAAGAGTGTTTACGTCTAAAGCATTTACGCGACCTACCGAGCTCGGTTTGCTATGAGGACGCCAAACCGAGATTGTTATTAGGAGCCGACAATTGGCATTTAATAATCACCCGTAACTTGAGGATAGGGCGTCGAAGGCAGCCTATAGCTGCACGTACGTTATTAGGATGGGTGATACAAGGAACCGTGCCGCGATTCACGTGTAGGGAGGACGGTGAAACCGTGTTACACGTCGTAAGCAGTAGCGGACGGATAGATAGGGACATCCGAACGTTCGCGAGTCAAGACGAGGAGATAACGGAACTCCTCAAACGGCAGTACGAGATCGATTCCATCGGTATCTCGCTAAGGAATAGGCCGCGACGGGAAGAGGAACGCGCTGTCGAGATATTCCAGCGCACCGTCAAGAAGGTCGGCGATCAATACCAGGTGGGACTGCCATGGAAGGACGACGACGTGCGGATGCCTCCTAGCTACGAGATGGCTGCTAGAAGACTGCGGACGATCGAGAGGAAAATGGACAAATCGCCGGAATTTCGAGACGCCTATACCGCACAAATAGATAACCTCCTGGCGAAAGGATACGCAAGGGAAGCCGAGGGGACAGAGAGAGAGGACCCTAAGAGCTGGTACCTGCCCCACTTCGCAGTACGAAACCCGAACAAGCCTGGGAAGACGAGAGTGGTTTTCGACGCGGCAGCGCGTGCGTCCGGCAAATGTTTGAACGATTATTTGCTTGACGGCCCCGACTTGTTACGGAACCTACCGGGCATACTGTTTAGATTTAGGGAGAACGAAATAGCTGTGTCAGCGGACATTAGGGAAATGTTCCTACGCGTTAAGATTGACCGTCGCGACCAGCCCGCGCAATTATTTCTGTGGCGAGGTAACGAGCGATCCAGCCCACCGCGGGAATACGTTATGACTTCAATGATTTTCGGTGCGAGGAGCTCGCCGTTTCTCGCACATAGCGTTAGGGATCATAACGCGCGCGCACACGCTGAGACACATCCGTTGGCACTTAACGCTATCGTACGTAGTCACTACATGGATGACTACCTAGACAGTTATGCTACGGTAGAGGAAGCGGTAAACACTGCGAGGCAGGTTACGGAAGTCCACCAGCAGGCCGGCTTCACCTTAACGGGCTGGAATTCGAACCACGCAGCCCTACTAGAAGACAAGCCGGAGGAATTATTAGCGAGCAAGCCTAAGGAGGTAGGCTTGAGGCAAGACAGCCCAGGCAGAACCCTAGGGCTATTATGGATGGCCAATAAAGACGCCTTAACGTTCAACACATCCATGAACCGGGTACCGAACGAGGTGAAGACGCTGCAGAGGCCACCGACCAAGAGAGAGGCGTTGAGTGCAGTCATGTCGGTTTTCGACCCGCTTGGACTGCTGAGCTACCTCACCATCACCGCCAAGATTCTGCTGCAAGACCTGTGGCGGATGAAGAAGGTCGGATGGGACGACGAACTACCCGAGGAGGCAGCTGAGGAATTCCAGAGGTGGCTGCGAGTCGTCGAGGAAGTATCACGACTGCGGCTGCCTAGGTGCTATGCTCCTACGGGGGGAGTGGTAGAGCGTCAGCTCCACGTGTTCAGCGACGCAAGCGAACGTGCGTACGCATCCGCGGCGTATTGGCGATTACGATACCGCGACGGAACGGTTAAGGTACGATTAGTGGCGGCCAAGGCGAAAGTCGCCCCGATAAAGGCGCAAAGCATACCACGGTTAGAATTGCAGGCGAATCTGATAGGCGCGCGACTCGCGGAATTCGTGCAAGGCGAGCACAGAGTGGTAGCCGATAGGGTAGTTTATTGGACAGACTCCACTACGGCGCTCCATTGGATTCAAAACGATACGGCGCGTTACACCCCATACGTAGCACATAGATTAGGGGAGATATCGGAGAAGACGTCACCCGAGCAATGGAGGTGGATACCGACCACAGACAACATCGCGGATCAGGCAACGCGCATTAATTATACGTACAAGGAAGAGAGCGACAAATGGTTTACGGGACCGCCATTCCTGTACGAAGAGGAAGATCGATGGCCTCGACGACGGGAAGAGAAGGCAGGGGATGAAGATGATGAGATGGAGGAAGTCGTGGCGCACCAGAGCGACACCAGGAGCGCTCCACACCTGCCAGACATCGAGAGGTTCTCTTCTTACGAGAGATTGGTCAGGGCCACCGCTCGGATATTACAGTTCGTCGATGCCATGAGAGGAAAGGCGCACGGACTAACATTGGACCACATCCAGAAAGCAGAGCGGATGTGGATAGAGCGAAGTCAACGAGTGAGTTTTGCTGAAGACATCGGTCGACTGCAGAAAGGAAGGAACTTGGCAACCGGCAGCGCGTTAAGAAAGCTCGACCCCATATTCGAAGATGGCGTACTGCGAGCTAGAGGACGGATTGACGCAGCCAATGTGGACAGCCAAATGAAGAGGCCCATCATCCTGAACGGACGCCACCAGTTTGTAAAGCTGCTTGTGGAGAAGGCGCATAAGGAAGCAAGCCACGCCAACAGGGAACGGGTAGTGAACGACCTACGCACGAGATATCACATACTTCGACTACGACCGACCGTACGAGAAGTGGAGCGGAGATGTCTGCGGTGCAGGGTACGCAAGGCGACACCTCGGCCAGCGGTTATCGGAGATCTACCACCTGAACGGTTAGGGGCATTCGCGCGACCATTCACCTACACCGGAATCGACTATTTCGGGCCTATAACGGTAACAATAGGACGTAGGCATGAAAAACGGTGGATAGCGTTATTCACTTGTTTGACGACGCGCGCGGTACATTTAGAGATAGTTTATTCCCTAACGACGGACTCGGCGATATCGGCATTGCGGCGCATGGCGGCTAGGCGTGGGTGGCCACGGGTCATCTACTCGGATAACGGGACAAACTTTCATGGGGCGGACACCGAATTACGACGGGCGATGGAAGAGTGGGCACCCCTGCTGAAGGACTACGCGTTGACTCGGCGGACGGATTGGAAGTTCATCGCGCCGGGTGCGCCGAACCAGGGAGGCGCATGGGAGCGTCTCGTGCGCTCGGTGAAGACCGTGCTCGAAGCCACACTCAATCAGAAGAGCCCACGGGAGGAGACATTAGCGACGCTCCTCACAGAAGCCGAAAACACCGTTAACTCTCGACCGTTGACGCACGTACCGGTCGACATCGACGAAGAAGAGGCATTGACACCCAACCACTTCTTGCTGCTGGGACCATCGAGCCTTCCAGTGACCGCGCCGTGCACGCCTAATGATCGTCGGGCGTGGAGAGCGGCGCAGGGACTTGCCGACGAGTACTGGAAGCGCTGGGTGAAGGAATACCTGCCGACGCTGGTTGCGCGCGGAGACTCAAGGGACGTGCAGCAGCGCCCGGTACAAGAAGGAGACCTCGTCGTGGTGGCAGACGGGACCATGCCGCGGAACGTGTGGCCAAGAGGAGTTGTAACGAGGACCTTTCCCGGACCAGACGGCGTGGTACGGAACGTGGAAGTGAGGACCAGGGGCGGATTGCTGCGGCGGCCGGTCAGGAGGATCGCCGTCCTCCCGAGTGCAGCCTAGGCTCGCAAGGCTACGCCGGGGGGAGAATGTTACGGACAGCGAGAGACCCGCCGCCCCGTCGCCCCTTCGTTCCCCGTTACGTCCCGCGCACCCCGCACGCCGGCGCTGATCACGCGATATCGGGCAGCCAATCAGCGCGCGTGCGGCGAAAGTTGCCATCGGGCGGCTAACCCGACGAAATGAAGCGCTCTTCTCGGAAATATAAGAAGGGCGCCTCGGACGGTCGTTGTTCATTCGTTCATTCGGGTTCATTCGGATCATTCAGAAGCATTCGTTCGGAAGCGGCAAGGAAGAATCAAGACAGAAGACTCCATACTGAAGACCTCCCTTTTGTATAGTGATTAGTTAATGTACCGAACCCATTGTAAATAGTGAATATAGTATAATTAAAAGTACCATCTTTTCTTCGAGCAGTCCCCTAGTATAGCTAACCTCACACCGCCAGTTTAAAATACCAAATACAGTCCACTACTCTCCATCCATTTTAGTGCCATTGTTACGTTACACTAACTCAACTAATACACAATATATTCACTATACGACTATACGTTCTCAACGCGCGGTATACTGAAATCGTCGTTTTTTTTTTTTTTTTTTTTTTTTTTTTTTTTTTTTTTTTTTTTTTTTTTTTTTTTTTTTGCGCCCGAAGCAATTGGAAAAGGGCTACCCCGAAGGGAGGCAGAAAATGCATTACGCATACCACGATGGCCGGTCCATCGTGGTTATGAGGGACTCACTACCTACAAGGGGGAACCTAAGTGATACCCTCTAAAACCTGCCTTTGGGGACTGGCAACCAGCTGTTGAAAGCTTCACATGCCGTATCGTAAAGCGACCCTCTTTTGGGAAAAGAGGGCGCAGGCGGCTATAAGCCGCTGAGGGAGTGCCTGGGAAGGCAAATTAATTATGAATAACTTAATTAGAGTTGGCCTGAGCCGCCAGGAGGCAGTTCAGGTCGTTTGAAAGTTTATTAGGCGGGTCCGAGAGGGAGTTCCTCGGCCTGCGGACGCTATAGCGGGAGGGGAGTGGGGCTGCATAATTAGCAGCCTCACGAATAAAATGATTGGAATGCGACTCTGAGGCTTTGAAGAAGTTCTCAGAGAGTTTTTTAAGGAATTGTTGAATTGTAGGGAGCTCTAGGTCCCGATGAAGGTCGGCATTGCGGACGTACCAAGGTGCGTTCGCAGCTCGACGACAGAAAAGGTTTTGAACTACTTGGAGTTCATTAATAATTTTAGGGTTAGAGTGGGCGAAAATGGGGCCCGCGTAGGACATGACTGGTCGTATACAGACCTTATAAAGGGTACGCTTGTTTCTGAGGGACATTTTACTGTGTCGGCCCAACATACTGTTGAGCCTATTCAGGTAAAAACGTGCGTGACGGGTTACTCTTTTGACGTGGGGCCTGAAAGTTAGCCCTGTGTCTAGAGTGACACCTAAATATTTGGCAGACGTATGCCAGGGGACAGGGGTCCCTAGCATACGTATTGGTGGAGTGTTTTTGAGACGGCGTCGTTTATAATCGAAGTGAACGGCGGAGCTCTTCTCCGGGTTCACATCGATGCGCCATTTTTTGAACCAAGCTCCTAGGTCATCAACTGACTTTTGGACCTTGTTCCGTATGAAAGGTAGCGAGATACCTTTGCAGTAGAGAGCAGTGTCGTCTGCGAAGAGGGAGAGCTGAACACCTTTCGGCGGAATGGGAATGTCGTTGGTGAACAGTATGTACAGCAGAGGAGCAAGAACTGAGCCCTGAGGGACACCAGCTTTGATGGGGCGCTGTGAAGATAGCGTGCCTTCGTGTCTAAAACGAAAGGTACGATGATTAAGATAAGAGGCCACGAGACGTACTAGACGATCGGGGAGACCTATTTTGTATAGTTTGTAGATAAGGCCCGTATGCCAGACTCTATCGAAGGCTTTGGCGATGTCGAAAAAGACCGCGATAGTCTTATGACGACGGGGATAAAAACCGCTGAGGATATATTCCACAATACGGTGAACTTGTTGGGGGCAGGAGTGTTTCGCTCGGAAACCGAATTGATGGGGAATGATAAGAGGGTCACCGTCTGTGGGAAACAGATGGCGCCTCATGCGATTTTGAATGACTCTTTCAAAGAGCTTGCCCATGGCCTTGAGGAGGCTAATGGGACGATGACTGGAGGGGAGATTAAGAGGCTTGCCTGGCTTGGGAATACCAATCACAGTTGCCTCTTTCCACGTAGTGGGAAAGTAACTAAGGTTGAAGCAGGCATTGAAGATAATAGATAAAAGGGTTAGCACCTGCTCAGGAAAGTTTTTTAGGGCTTGGTTGGAGATGCCATCCGCGCCCGGAGCCTTTTTAGGCTTAAGTCCTTTGATGAGGGATGAAATCTCATCATTGGACACAGAGATAGGTTCGGAGGCTGTAGGGGGCGAGTTCCGGCGGCGGACCTCATCCTCCACTGCCTGGACGTGTGAGGGGTCTACGGGTTGAGAGCTAGGAGAGCATTGAGCGGCAATGCTGTCTGCAAAGCACTCAGCCTTTTCCTCGTCCTCGAAGGCTACCGTACCGTCGGGACGGGAGAGAGGGGGAGTGTGGAAGATAGCGTCTATGCGGAGGGCTCTTGCCATCTGATAGTACGCTGTATGAGAGGGAGAGATATTCTCCATGAGCTTACTCTTTTCGAGGTCTCGAAATTCAGAGAGGCGGAAACGGAGTTCTCGTTGAAGACGATTGGCCGTGCGCCTATATTCGGGCGTGGGATATTTTGCTGCTCTCCGGAAAGCAGCTTTTTTGGCTTTTAATAGGTTGCTAATATGCAGGGGAAGCCCACTATTATTAGCAACCGGGACGACCCTTTCATTCTCCTTAAGGGAGGTTTTAATAAGGGTGGAGAGTGAATCGACCGCGGTGTCGATTTTTTCAGGACTGTCTAAGTCCGAAGATAGGGAGATGGGGGAGTCCTGTGAGTCCAGAGCTTTCGCTAGGGACTCCTTGAAGCCCTTCCAATTTGTGAAGGTTTTAGTAGAGGGTGTTGGGAGTGGTGGCTGATGGCCAAGAATGAGAGAGACCGGTCGGTGGTCGGATCCTAGATCGTCTAGTGTCTCGATTGCCCTAAGGTTGAGAGAAACTCCTTTGAGTAACGCAAAATCTAGTACATCGGGGGCATAGTCGGTGTTATCGGGAAAGTGAGTAACACCGAGAGGACTGTGGACGGTAATATCAAGAGACTGCGTGATATCGAGCAGTAACTTGCCACTACGGGTGGTAGTACGGCATGTCCATTCAGTATGCTTGGAGTTAAAATCTCCAAACATAATGACTGAATTGCCTAGAGATAAAATAGCCTCAAAATCTTTTTTGAGGGGAAGGGTTTTAGAAGGGATGTAACAGGAGGCTATGAAGATGGACTGATGTCCAGTCATAGCTAGCCTGCATACCGTGGCTTCCATGTTGGAAAGTTGCGGAGTAGAAATGGGAGAACAGTGGAGTGTCTTCTTGTAATAAATGGCCGTACCGCCGCCTCGGCGGTCGGGTCTATCATTACGAAGAAGAGAGAAGTTTTTGATGGAAAGGCCTTTAGTGTCCTTAGTATTGAGATTAGTTTCCTGTAGGAGGAGGAAATCGGTTTCACGATTTTGAAGAAAGAGCTTAAGCTCTGGGAGGTTATTTCGCAAACCGCGAATGTTAAAGGATACAAGGGATAAACCCTTAGGTTTGATACGACCGTGGGATTTTGGTAGAGCAAACTGCTCTGTCATTGTGAGTTAAGTTAATTAAGTTAACTTAACTTACAATGAGCACAAAAGATTATGATGCTCTGCAAGAGCGAGGAGACGGTCCTGAGGGGACCTCGCAGCGCGCAATTTGCGTGCTAACACAGCGATTTCCTCAACGTTGATGTTCCTAATTGCGGAATACACCGTTTTTAGGTCATCAGCCATTGAGGGCTGTGATTGTTGTGGTTGAGGGGCGGAGGATGTCCGCGGTGGTACTGCCTTTTTGGGGCCCCAGGGAAAAACTGGGGGCTGCATAGGCTGAGAGAAGCCCGGAGGGGGCCGAATAGTGCCCTGAGGGGGCCTAGGAGGATCCTGAGAGGGTCGAGAGAAGCCCTGGGTGGGCTGAGAAAGGCCCTGACGGGGCATCCGTTGGTAAAGAGCCGGGAATGAGCGGTCATTGACCGGCGGTGGAGCTTGCCTACTGGGGCGAGGATGAGGTGCGCAAGGGCAGCCTCTGTAGTTAGCCGGGTGGCCTGTTTGTTTACACAGGACACACGCGGGTGGGGATTCGGCGTCTTTGGGCCGAGGACACTCTTTAGTGTTGTGGGGTTCAAGGCACTTAACGCACCTGGGTGGGGCGGAGCAGTTGGCCGCCGCATGACCATACAGCTGGCAGCGGTGGCACTGCGCCGGGAACCCGCGCCTATGTGGAGGCTCAACCCTCACTCTCGACAGGCCGCACACTGTGCGTACCTGCCGGAAGATGGCTTTCGCCTCCGGCACGTTGGTTAAAATTACTAGGGCAAGAGAGAACCTCTGGCCTGTTCTACTGTGCATTTTGTGCACAGGTCAATCCGCATACTATTAAAAAAAAAAAAAAAAAAAAAGAAATTAGTTAATCCCCCATTAATTTTAATACTCAAAGCCCGCCATGAAATAATGTCGCGGGTTATTTTTTTTTTTTTTTTGCGCCCGAAGCAATTGGAAAAGGGCTACCCCGAAGGGAGGCAGAAAATGCATTACGCATACCACGATGGCCGGTCCATCGTGGTTATGAGGGACTCACTACCTACAAGGGGGAACCTAAGTGATACCCTCTAAAAACTGCCTTTGGGGACTGGCAACCAGCTGTTGAAAGCTTCACATGCCGTATCGTAAAGCGACCCTCTTTTGGGAAAAGAGGGCGCAGGCGGCTATAAGCCGCTGAGGGAGTGCCTGGGAAGGCAAATTAATTATGAATAACTTAATTAGAGTTGGCCTGAGCCGCCAGGAGGCAGTTCAGGTCGTTTGAAAGTTTAT